AAAAAAAAAAAAAAAAAAAAAGAATCTATCCCCTAAAGAATTCTCTCAGTAAAGCATCCACTGCCTTGCAAGGAGGAAGTTCTCCTTCATTTCTAACCTAAAGCACTCCTATTAAAATTAAAATTTATTTCTTTAGAAGACAGTGAAAGTAGCAAATTAGCATTCTCTGTATCATTAATTCTCAGGTTACTCATGCATGCTAGTGTTTGAGATTCACAGCTCTACCTCCTACCCTTTCGAGGCTTCAAGAGACATTCATTTCTCCAGTGTTAATAATTCTAATTATTTTCCTTTTGAATAGGTTCCATAATTTCCCTTCTTCATGTCTCTTCTCTCAGGTTTCTTTCTACTCTTTGACTGTTCTTTCCTCATCTGCCCCTTATTTCCCTTCCCCTATCTTCCCATTCCTAAAATCTCCTTGCCTGAATGGACAGAGTCTTGCTTTAAGTACCCCCGTTTTTCTGACCTGGCATTCTTCCCTGTAGGAATGTTAATTAGCATGTAGGATTTAATTAATTCAGCAGCTAATTAAAAATGGGAGAGAAAGAGCGGGAGAGGAGGAGGGCGGGAGACACAGAGACTGCTTCAGTGCAGAAGGCATCGCAGATGGTTCTGGGTTGGCTGGCACCATGCCACCGCCCCCAACTCCCCCTGCACGCACAGTGAGGGGAGGGGCAAAAGTGAGGGGCATAGGCTGGCAGAGTCTCTAGACAGGCTCCTTCAGTCCTGCCGCTGCTTTGTGTTGGGAGAGACAGAGAAGAAGAAAACAAGAGAATGAGAGAGACAGACTCGGACAGACTCACACCCAGGAAGAGCTGAAGAAGAGGGCATCGAACTGACAAACCGAGTAATTCCTCCCTTCTTCACTCTGGAAGAAGCCAAGAATAGAGCTTGTTCATCCCAAGAGACAGCATGGGGTTCTCTGGCTCCCAAGGACCACTGAGGACAAGATGGAAAAACATAGCCACTGAACCTCTAGAGAAAAAGGGATAGCTCACTCTGGCAACCAGGGAGTTCCTCTGCTGCCATTCTCCCCATACCAAGCTGTCTCCTCAGCATGAGCAGGCGAGAAGGAAGATAGCTATTTAAAATGAAAGACAGGTCAGGAAGAGGGAGTGGGCACAGATGGGCAATGCTGAGCAGATGGACAAGAGGGAGATATAAAGGAAGAAGAATGAAGGGTACATATGAGAAGGGAGAAGAGAGGGAAGGCAAAGAAGAAATAAGTAATGGAGGAGAAGGAAGAAAGTCAGGGATAGAGGCATGCTTTTTTTGTTTGCCAAGATGGATAAAGAAGGATGGGATGTTCATGCAGAGGACTTGCATCTATTGATCCCGCCCAGTCAAGGCCAGATAGTGGGAAGGGCAGAACTACAGAGAGAGGGCAGGAACAGATCCTTCTGTGGATCAACCAAGCTACGGGAGACAGGGAACTCATCCTGCAGGACCTACCTAAATACTGGATATTTCTGCCAAACCAGGAATTTATCAAAGGCAATGGAGAAAAGCTTCCAAATGAACACAAAAGGAGGCTAGAATGACAGGAGGCTGCAGAATCGGATTCCAGGAGCTCCAGCAGGGAGATGGGTGAGGAATGGGATTTTTTAGCAGCACCCAGCTGGCTCTTTAAAGAGTGTCATCTGATGCTCTGAGGGGAAATACATCCTTTAAGGGACTGATTTGAGGATTTAAGGAATAAGAAACAGTAAAAAGGCTTTATTTTAGAAAGTATCCCTCTAGTAGGAGGCTAGATCTAGGAAGCTTTGGGGCTTAAAGCCTTGGGAGGGGCTAACTAAAGAGGGCAAGAAGGCCTGCCATCAGAGACAGATTACTTAAGATTTGATTGAAAGAAACTGAGGAGGGTGTAAAGCCAGATGAAGGTTTTCTGGTGTTAACTGCCATAGAGCTGAATGCAGTGGCAGAGGAGGGTCACTGTAGCTAAGAGACAGGGTTTTCTAGGCTAGGAATTCTGATTTGATCTCTTTACCACCTAGGGCTTCCTGTAAGAGCCAGCAGTAAGTACATCAAAATTGGGAGAGAGGAAGTAGAAACTCAAGGACTCTATATTCTCCAGAGCCCACCCGTCGGGCTAAACCCAAGACTGGTAGATGAAACAAAGCAGTTCTCAGTGTAAGTTGCCATAGGTTCAATGTATAAAATACAAATGCTTCCTAAGCCTGTTTTCTAGTCTAGGTTTTAATTAACAATAAAAAATGATAACATTTACTAATATAATCACAATGATGGTTTGACACAAGAGAGAAATTCTACAAGTTAAGGCTAGCTCGTGGGAAGGAGGAGGTAGTTCAGATAATCTTACATTATTTAAGTGGCCCTGGTACTGAAGAATTTGCTAAATGAACAACAAAAGAGAATGGAGTTTCCAGAGTTCTAGTATCCACAACAAGTTCCACCTAGTTCTTAGGCATTTAGGGAAGAAGGCTTAAAAGAAGGGGCATATCAGTCAGCTGGAAGGTCAAATTCAATCTGAAAAGGGAATTCATCCCCTGCCTTAGCACTCTCAAAGTCCCTCTGATAGGCTGGGTTGTAGAAGGCCCAGGAAATTCTAGCCCCTTCCTGGTGAGACAGGCCTCTTGCCTGCCAGGCCTGCACACTATCGTCAACCTGACCATGCTTCTGACTTTAAGACTGTCTGTGACCCTAGGAATGAAATGGGAACATTGGTTTCCAAGAGGTAATAAAGAAAAAGTCAGACATAGATGTCAGAGGGCATAGATTCTAATGCCAACTCCAATAACAATTATTTGTATGGTCTTAAGACAAACCATTTCTCCCCATAGCACCTGTGAGTGGAAGAAAACAAAAATCTTCCCATTTTAGCTATAATGCATTCAGCACCTAGAGAATAGTTTATTACTATTCCAAAGGATTCTAAAACTAAAACGTCACTACCATTCATTGCAACAAATATTTATTGAGCCTAGCCTTTAAGAGAGGGTTCTTAACTGAGAACAGAGATCTATATTACACAAGAAACAAGACCCTAACTAGAGTACCCTAAATAGGACATGAGAGATGAGTAAGAAGGGCAGCAAGAAAATCAGCTGAGGAAACGACCACTGGCCCATCTGACTCCACCAAAGAACACTCCTTATGAATGCAAGAAAGGCAGGCAGACAGGAGATAGATTTCCGCTGGCACCTTCAAGTCTCAGCTTGTAAAGCAAAGCACATGGTGCTCAAGCATACTCTTCACTCTGGCTCTTTCCAGGGTTCTGGCAAACTCTTAACTCTCTCCTTAGTCCGAGAGTCAGCTTTGTCTCACACATGATAGAACAATGTAAGTCATACATTCTGGGACTGCCACTAAAGTTAAGGAAAATCTCCTCCCACCAGCAGACAAGAAGCCACACTGTCCACATTATAGACAATTCCCAGGACATACACAAAGAAAAGACTCAGCACTACTATTCAGGGAGTTACTGGGATCTATTAATTATAAAGAATAATTTGATAAGAGAATAAGCCATCTTAGAAACTGGATAGCTTTATAATCAACAACATTGCTGAATTAGCTGAGGAGTCTAGGCTAATGGTCATACAATTTGAGAAGTCTCCAGATAAAGTTATGAGGTACAGTAAAGTAAGAATTGAGGTAATTATCTGATGGGCTATATTCTGGAAAGGCCAAATAATAAAGAGAACTATAGGCTGAGTGGGAAAACCATGTAAATTCAGCTGAGACAAAGGAGAGATATAAAAAGAGAAAAGAGAAAGCAGACTATAAGAGTGAGCCAAGGTCTTAAAGATAGAATCATTCTCAGCAATGACCAATCAGCCAGGGTGCCCATGCAGGTGTCACAGTTGCTCCAGCAAGGACTTTTTGAGGACTCAAAAGATCAATAATAGGACATCTCCTAAGGGACCAACAGGTTTTAATTGCATAGTGTTCCTCCAGTCTTCAAATTACAGGATAACATAAGAACAGCTATCCTTAGCAATCTAAATCAAAAGTTTCAAAAATGCCCTTAATATCTGAATTACTGCTCTTCTCATTTGCCCAGTATGTGGAACCAAATTGTATAGATTCACATAACACAGAATCCCTGTGAGCTAGACTCTCACTATCCAAATCCAAGAACTGAATAGGTAATGGATAGCAAAGAATACCTATCCTTTCACATTTCCACCCATTTTCATACAGTCTCGTGATTCTCCCAACCAGTCTTCAATACTGGCCTCTTCAGTTTTCCTCACCCCATTCTCTTCTAAACCACTTTCACCTACAGCCCTCTTATAGTAGGAGAGCCATCTGGAAAATGGCAAGGGTGGAAAAGATTAAAAAAAAAAAAAGTGAGGGGAGAGGTGGGTACTAAGGTACAGTATAAATTCTAGGTAGAGGAGTGGGATAGAGATCATGCAGAAAGAGAAATAGAGAAAGCAAGAGTGGGAGCAGGGGGAGGGGAAGAAGATGGCATTGCAAGTGAGGGGAGGACGCCACAAAATTAATTTGAGGAAGGGAACAGTAGAGGAGACGTTGGTGGAATAACAATCAGGCAGGAGAAAGGGGGAGGGCAACAGGGTGGGAAGGAATGATGTTGGGGAGGAGGGCCTAGCCTGCAGAGCAACATCAGCACCACCTATGGGTATGGTGAAGGGTTACAGACAGCAACAAAGAGGCCCCTGTTTGGGCATGGGAGTCTGGGACGCAGGTAAGGAAGGAGAAGCCATGGCTTCTGCCCTTCAAACCTCTCAATAATACAACATGCAGGCTAGAATAAATTGTATATGGCTCTCCTGGGAAGAGAGGGACTTAACAAGGTAAGGGAGGGAGGAGAGAGGACTCCTGGCTTTTTCCATTCTAAGGGGGTTTCCCCCTCAGAATTCAGGAGTAGAAAAGAGAAGGGCATGAAAAGGGAGAAATGCCAGGGACTGAAAAGAATGTGTCTGCTTCTTCTTTCATTTGCTGGAGAAAGGATTTTGTCTTTATTTCCAAGTGATTTCCTTTCCCCACTCGATGTTGGAGAGTACAGCTCCCTCCCTGGGGCAATGGATGCCCCTCAGTCAGCTGCTTCCTCCCAGCATAGCCTTGAAACTCCCAACCACCATTAGAAAGCCCCAGGGAGCCAACAAGCTTGAGAAATAAAGGAAGGAAAGGGTCCCCCCCACCACCAGTCAAACAGCCCAAGGGGGAGGACAGGGTAGTGAAAATGAAAGAGAGAATGCAAAAGCTCTGCAGAGGGAGGGGAGAGGGAAATGTGATCAGTAGTATTTGTTGTGCTTCCAGGGAGGAAGAATCCGTCACATTTTTAATAATAATAAATACATGAAGACAGATTTGCTAGCACTGCTCAGGCTCCTTGAGAAGGGTGGGGGAGGGGAGCCAATGCAGCTGCAGTGCAGACTAATATCTCCCCCTCCCATCCCCCATTAGATAGGCTCAATATCACAGCAGCCTTCCCCTCCCCCTCTAACCGCAGTCCTCCCCTTCACAGCCCACCCTTTCTATGGTCCCTTCACACAGCTCTGCCCCTCCCTCCCCTACTTCTCTCTCTACTCCCCCAACACTATCTGTATCAGCAGTAGTCCACACTTAACACAGCCTTACCCTAGCTCGAAGAAGCCCTGTATTAGGTCTGACCCCCACTCCTAAGACCTCACTCTTTCCCATCAGTGACCTTCACTAGATGAATGGCAACCTCCCCACATAAAACCCTCCACAGAAGTCCAGCACATCTCAGCATTTCCTGGATTCCACTAAAAGTGACCCCCTTTCCCATTTTTATCTCAATGTGACCTCTTCTCTCACACCCTTAAATATAATGGCCATCAAATGTGCTTGTGTTTAGGGGGTGTCAAGACCTCAGGACTCAGTGACTACTGCCACCTATTGACCCAAATTTGTTCAAGATAGACCTTTAATACACTTCTTACACAGTGACGCTCTGTTATTTCAAAAGCATCAATAGCTTAAACATGCAAAGGCATGGCTCTTGGGGCTTCTCTGAGACCCTCTGAACAATGAGATCAAAGAAATACAAAAGCAAGACTGGGCAGAGAGCCAAAGCAATGATGCCTTTCTCTTTGCAAAGGCAGAAAAAGAGGCCCAAGCAATGAAAAAGGAAATTTATGCCTCCTCTAGGGTCTGCAAGCAAAGAGAAAAGGGGATAAAAATTTTTCCCAAGCACTGGTAAAAATCTTGTGCATCACAATGAGTGAAGCATTTCCAAAACAGTAGAAGGCAGATTTCATTAATATGCCTTCAAAAAGTTGGCCAAATACTTGGGTTGCACTGGTATTTACAGAGCTAGCTGATAGCAGGGAAGATGAGGGACACTGAAGACTGTGCCAATTCTCAATCTGTACCAATCAGGACTGAGAAAGAAACTAGGTTCCAAGGACAGATTTATACCATGAAGTTCTATTGGGATGTTTAGTATGTGTCTTCCACAAACCCAAGATAAGAAATGAGATGTGAGATTGAACTCTCCGTGGTGCTGAAAAACTGATTAACTGCAATCAGGTCATCAAGGTATTCATGAAGATTCTTGTGAACTTCTGACAGACATTCCCCCAGCCCTCATAACATCCTACAAAACAAAGTTTTTGAGGCAAAAACAGGCCTTTGTCAATCTTCTTTGCCCACTGCCTAAGAGGAAAAACCAAGACAGAGATGCTAAATTACTTGCTTAGAACAAAGCCATGACTCTCACCATCATGTGGTAACAATAAACAGGTGCTCATGTGCACTAATGACATTACAGTGAACACTAGAAATAATCTGTTATTTTTTTATATTCATGTGTTCTGAAGTATCAGAGAACAGAATCCAAGTAAGAGAAAGAAGAGTGAACAACAGAAGAGCCTTAAACCCTAAAATTCTTAGTTTTCTTGCTTTACTATACTAACAGTAGTTCTCAAACTGTGTTCTATAGAATTCTAAAGGTTCCTTGGAGATCCAAGACTTTTTTTTTTTTTTTTTTAGATAGAGAGGTTTTTTTTTTTTTAATATTTATCTTTCAGTTTTTGGCGGACACAACATCTTTGTTTGTATGTGGTGCTGAGGATCAAACCCGGGCCGCACGCACGCCAGGCGAGCGCGCTACCGCTTGAGCCACATCCCCAGCCCGATCCAAGACTTTTCATTCCTATTTCAACCAAAGTAAACCTCAGTCATTCCTGTTTCACATACTAAGAAACTACATAAAATTCTATCAAATAATATACTCTAAATATTGTTTGATGATTTGGGTGCCAATATTCCCCAGAAATAATAATTATAACCATTACTGTAATAATTGTTAATCCTGTTGTAATTGTGAATCCTGTTGAAAGGTCAGGGCAAGCAAGATATCTTAGAATTAAAAACTCAATTAAATTAACATAAGGTTCTTCACAGAGGCAGGGATTTTATCTGTTTTGTTCCCTGCTATGCCACCAAGAGGCCAGTATAGTGTCTGGAACTTGTGGTTTATTTGAAGGCCAGTCCTCTAACAGAAATGGAGAAATAGGGATGGGGAGGAGTTGGAGATTACAAATTACCTACACAAACACTGAAGACTTCCAAGAACTGCAGGGCACTTGAAGTTCTCCATTTCCCATGTTTCTCTGAAACAGGTTCTCCAATTTACTAGTCAAGAGATCTTCAACAGACTGTTCAACCTAAGGGTTTCAGTTTCCACAACAGCAAAATGGAGGTGTCATATATTTTGTAAAGATAGTGTAAAGCACTTAGGTAAGTAGGTAACAAAACTTAAATCTTTTCAGAAAAAGAAAAAGAAATTCCCTAATCAAAAAATCTTAATAAGGGCTGGAGTGTGGTTCAGTGGTGGAACACTTGCCAAGCAAGCCCAGAATCAATCTGGGCTTGATTCTCATATAAATAAATATAAATAAATGAAGATTCATCAACATCTAAAAAAATATTTAAAATTAAAAAAAATCTTAACAAATTAGAAACAACAGTAGTCCTAAGAAATGAATGTGGTGATTCTAATCAAAGCATTTTTTAGCTGAGCCACTTGTCCAATTAGTTCATTCAGAAAGGAAAAGAATCTCTAAATCTATTCTTGGGCTCTTTGTTTCAATTCACTTGAAGAAACAGAAGTATGAGCCTAGGACATGTCAGATTCCCTCAGATCTACCAGACTAAGTTAGAGTTCACAGAAGCAGGCTCATCTTGCCATCATCCATATATGCTCTAGGCTCCTTGATTTGGAAGGAATCCCAGAAATTCAAATGTATTCATTCTCAGCTGAGGAAAATTAAAGGCCAGAGATGTTAAGTGATTTGTCCAAGATCATAGAATCAGCAGAAGATGACTGCAAATTCATTTTCTGATTTCTAACAGGCCATGTCTGACTGAAAACAAACTCTTGCTTCAATCAGCCAAACCAGTATATATGAGCCAAATTCACAGAATTTAGAATAAAACAAAAGTTTTAGTGATATAATGGCCCCAAACTATATTTCTGTCCATAATACTGCACAGGGAAACAGACACTAAAACCAGATATTCATGAGACATAAATCCTTTAAAAATAAATCGAATGAATTAATTCTGTAGACTCAACTCCTCTTTTTTGCCCTTCTTTCACTTTCTCTCACAAACAGAGGTATTCTCCAAATAGAACAGAACATCTCAGATATGTAACCCATTGGTCTCCTGACTAGAGCTTGGCTAATATTTCTGTGGAACTTACATTCTTTGCTCTGTCAAGCTAAGAATTTTCTGTCTGCCAGCTTTCTGGTACCCTTTGGCAGTTCTCTGTAAAACAGTTGGTCTTTACTGATTCTGGTAACTGAGGCCTTGGATGAGGGTGGGTTAAGGAGACTGAAAAACAAGATTACATAACTCTTTGCTCTAGTCAACTCATTCACTCCACTATTCTCTAAGAATTATCAGTAACTGATCAAAAATCAGCTCTATGTTCATGTTATTTCAGAAACAGAGCAGCAGAAACAAAAATAACTCTTGCTGATGTGGAAATGTTCTATCTTGTTTTCAATTATTGTCAAGCACCAATGGTTTCCTGAACTATTAATGCCACCTGGTGGCCAGGCTAGATACATTAAAGAAATATAAGATCCACATATTTCAGATATTGTACCCACGGTACAAGACATACATGGGCTGGAAACAGTTGATATTCTACTCTATACTGTCAATTTTAAAAAACAATAGACAATTTCCAGTTTCTGGGAAAAATACTAATCAAAGAAAATGAATAAAGTCAAATTTCTTGAAATTCCAAGAAAAATTTCATCTTTCTCTTTCCACCACCCATTCAACAAAAATACTCCACATACCCAACAATTCCATCACTCAATACATGTGCAAAAGGGGCTTTAATTCCGGTGTAAAATCAATTTTATTAAAGATCTTTCCACATGTCCAAAGCAAACAATGAATTCCAAGGAAAAGACCTACATACAGTGAAAACAGAAGTATCCCAGGATGACAAAAAATACATAAAACATGTACACCCATAATCACCGCCGCCTCCGAAAACCTAAAAGGAAGGGAAACCAAGAATGAGGTAAAGGACAGTTGGAAAAGCTGAAGGACAGGAACAAAAGAACATTTAGAGAGGGTTCAAAAGGGGTGGGTTCTTGGGGCTGGGGTTGTGGCTCAGAGGTAGAACACTTGCCTACATGTGCGAGGCCCTGGTTCAATCCTCAGCACCATATAAAAATAAATAAAGGTATTGTGTCCAACTACAACTAAAAAATAAATATTTTAAAGGGGTGGGGGGTTCTTAGGTTAGTATTCTGTATCTTCTTCCCAGGACAAAAGACTAGAAAGACTAGAAGAATGAAACTAAAATGCAATATCAGTTCCCTCAAATGACCCTATAGTATGGAAATTGAATAGGACTATGGGACCTTAGAGATGGAATCCAGAGATCCCTTTTGGAATGATGTGGAGTTCCAGCTTGGGAAAGAAGAAAAAGAAAAGCCTCACTAAGAGATTATGGAAGGGACATTATGGGGGTTGGTGAGATCAGGATGTCAAATCCTGAGGGGTGGCATCCCAATTTCCATTCCCTACCTTGTACTTGATCACGTAAGTACTAGTACTACACTGACCTTTTTTCTTCCGACCTTTCTTGGGTATCTTCTTTCGCTTCTTAACAGGATTCTGATCCTGCAGACAGAGAAGCAAAGGAAAGGCAGTGTATTTCCAAGTGCCAGAATCCCTCCCCAAGTTCCTCATGGTAATAATTTCCAAATATAATTGGCTGAAAGAATGACAGCTGCCTCCTACAACTGTACCTCAACCTCACCTCATCAAGATGAGCAGTTCCTCCTGTCAATGCACTGATGTCACTGAAGTGCGTGAGGGAATGAAGCTGGGAGCTCATGACATTTGCTCGTTTTCGCCGTCCTCTCTCGCGCTTACTGACACTTAAACGCACCATCATGCTTTCTTCGTAGTTAATCCTGTCACAGAAAATCAGACACTGATCCCTACAGACTCAAACCATGGTAGTGGAAAGCTCTATGAGCCTAGTGGCTGGGTTGTGGTTTAGCTGTATGAGCACTCACCTAGCACATGCACCACATAAAAATAAAGGTATTCTATCAACTACAACTAAAAAATATTTTTAAAAAAACAAAACAAAAAAAACCCAAAAAACCACACCAAAACCCTGGGCCTGAGCATTTAACAATCCTAGCTTAAGAGTAGTGAGGAAATTTCATAGCAGATCAACACAGTATTTACTAGTCATACATTACGAATGAAATGTTGTCTGATAGAATTTTGGTACTGGGGATTGAACCTAAGGGCCCTTTACCACTGAGCTACATCCTCAGCCCCCACCCCCTTTTTTTTAGTTGTTGACAGACCTTTTTTTTTTTTTTTTGCAGTGCTAAGAACTGAACCCAGTGCTTCACACATGCCAGGCAAGTGTACTATCGCTGAGTCAAATCCCCAGCTCTCAGCCCTTTTTTAATATTAATTTTGAGAAGGGGGTCTCATTAAGTTGGTGAGGCCTTCACTAAATTGCTGAGGCTGGATTCAAACTTGCAATCCTGCCTCAGCCTCCTAAATCAAGAAAATTCCTTTATTTTAGCTCTGTAAGTAGGATTCGTTCCATGAATGGGCCTTTTCATGCACATCTTTCAATGTAGAGTCTTACATGAGCAAAGTTGATGAGCCTGTATTAAAGTTACAATTGCTTTTCTACTTTTCTTCCCTGAATTTATATAGCATTCTTAATGCCACTATAAAAACCTGCTTTTACTGTCTTCATCGAAAAAGTAAGAATTTTGACAGTGAAATACAGGCTATTAAAGCCCTACATGGAACTACATTTATTCCTCTCCATATAGTATTTGCTTGAGCCTAAACAGAATTGGGGAGAAAAAAAAAAATTATTTCCTACTTCTTATCCCATACTTCAAACTTCTATCATCCCAAATTTTCCACTCCACTTTCTATATGATGTTGGTTGTCTTGGTACCAGAATTAACCACAATTTACCCTAAGTTTGAGAACAGGTCTCTACAGTGGAAATAACTTCTAATTTAAAGAGCTCAGACCTATGTTGGTCCTCTTGACTCTGGCGAGTGACATGAGGATGGCGAGCATCTCGGATTTCCTCTGGAGCATCTGAGTACTGCTCCTTAAGTTCACGAATGACAGAACTGCTCAATGCCCGTCTCTTGGCTCGTTCCAGACGCTTTTTCTCCCGCTCAGCTTCTGTTTCGTCTATTTGATAAAAATCCACAGGTGTTATCCCAGAACAGAGAAAGGGAGAAGA